ACGGTGGGGACAAACGGCTAGGGGCAGGCAGGGCGGCGGGGCACGGAGGGGCTCGGGGCGGCAGGGCACGGAGACGGCAGGGCGGTGGGGTGCGGACGGCGGGGGACGAGGGGCTCGGGGAGGGCAGGGCGGTGAGGCGCGGACGGCGGGGCGCAGAGGGGCTCGGGGAGAGCAGGGCGGTGGGGCACGGAGGGACTAGACATGTGGATGGGGTGGATACCCGCCCGCCCTTACCTGCTCCTCTGTCTTTAAGTCCCCAAAGTCCTTTAGGAACTCTGCCTCGGAGGGGAACTGCGAGGGCTCCAGGAAGTGCAGCAGGCTGAACAGCTCCTCTACCGTGTTCTGCAGCGGGGTGCCCGTCAGCAGCACCTTGTGCTCCTGGCATAGGATAGGGCGTCAGGGGGCAGCCCCATTCTACCCCTCCCCCCAAAGAGCCCCACGGAGCCTCCTAACCCCACACAGCCCCCAGAGGCAGGGCCCATGCCTCACAGAGCCCCAAAACCCCCACTCAGGGCCAAGCTCAGGGCAGGAAGCGCCCACAGAGGGAAGTCCACCGACAGCTCCAGCCGAGCTCCACCACAACCCTCCTTTCCCTCCCCCAGGGTCCCCCCGCCCCACCTCCCGGACACTCTGGGGCCCCAGTTGTCCCACCAGGTCCATGTGCTTGAGACTGTCCAGCAGCTTGCAGTTGCGGTTCTTGAGCCGGTGGGCCTCGTCGATGATGACACAGCGCCACTCGATCTCCCGCAGCTCGGGGCAGTCCGACAGGATCATCTCGAAAGTGGTGATCAGCGCGTCGAACTTGTAGGCGCCGGGGATCAGCCGGCCCTGGAGGAGGGCAAGGGCAATCACATGATGGGGGTGGGGTGGGTGGGCCACATCCAAGAACAGCCTCCCCACAACATGCCAGGCCAGGAAACCCACCTCCTGGGGCCGTGAGACCCTCTCCCCACACCCTTCCTAGCTTTCCCTCCCCCTGTACCCCAGAGACCTGCGCCCTTCCCAGAGCTTGGCCTGCTGGGACCCCTGCTCCTCGCCCAGGAGTCCTTGCATTCCTGCAGCACACGTGTATGGGTGTCCACGCCACCGAGGGTCTGCCCCTCCCTGCAGTACACGTGCATGTGTCCGTGTCCACGCCCCCGTGCGTCTGCCCCTCCCCCCCCGTACCCGGGAGTCCTTGCAGTACATCTCGTACTGCTGGATCATCTGGCGGGAGGCCAGGCTGCCATGGTAGACGATGCTGTTCATCTCGGTCCACGTGTTGAACTCGCGCTCCCAGTTGGTGATGGTGGAAAGGGGAGCAATGACCAGGAACGGGCCCCGGATGCCCACGTTATAAACCTCCTGCAGGAAGGCAATTGACTGGATGGTCTTCCCCAGCCCCATCTCATCTGCCAGGATGCAGTTCTGCCTGTGGCGGGAGAAAAGGGGGTCAGCATCCCCCCAACTACCTCCTCCCCCCGTCCCAGCCCCTCTGCCGGGCTGCAGTTCTGCCAGCTGAGTGGGAGACACAGAGCTAACCCCAGCCTCACCTGCCCCCCCAGACCCAGCTCACCTGTTGTACCAGTTGAAGAGCAGCCAGTTGACCCCCTCGAGCTGATACTCCCGCAGCTGGTTGCGGTTCTTGTACTCGTGGGAGAGTTCCAGTTTTTTCCAGGAGATGGCCTGGGGACGGGCCTGGCGGGACAGGGGGGGGACACCATCAGCATGGCGGAAAGAAGCCCCCCCTACACCAGCGACGGTGGAGAGGGGGCTGCCCAGAGGGGAGACAGGTGCTGTCACTCACCATACCTGGGTGTTCCAGGTGCCTGGGAGGCAGCTTGGGGGGAAAGGGGTGATGGCAGAGCCGGCTTGGGATGGGGGGAGGGGGGGTGGCAGGATGGGGGCTGTCACTCACCATTCATTTAAGCAGGGTGGCTGGTGGGTGGAGCCAGGGTAGGGGGTGGAGCCACAGCTGTTACTCCTCCTGCCCCTGAGCTCAGGGCCTGGATACATTTGGGCTGAGGGGGCGGAGCCGGTGTCTGATGGGGTGGAGCTGGGGGCTGTCACTCATCACGCTGGGTAGAGTTGCCAGGCCTCCGGTTTTTGCCCGGTTGAAAAGGGACCCTGGTGGCTAGGGTTACCATACGTCCGGATTTTCCCGGACATGTCCGG